GGGATTTCTGCTTATTAATTATGAAGACTAAAAAAAACAGTTATAGTGTAATACTAATATGATGATAACATCCTGAGCTGCAGACCTTTATTACTGCATGAGTGACACTTGTCATTAGACTAAAGAGTCTATAATAAGTGGAATTAGATATCTGCATTGATTCTGTTCCTGGCTCTGCTTTTAAAATCAAGGCTGCACTGGGAGATTCTGGCACAGTTAAGAAGTAAATCCATCCCTTCATCTATTTCCTACTGCTTATCCAGGGCCAGGTTGCAAAGCAGCAATCTGAGCAGAGATGCCCAGACCCCACTCTCCTTCCACTGTCTGGCTCTTTCCTCAGTTGAAGTCAGCAGCACTGCTGCAGAACCTGAGCTCTAGGTTGTGGTGAGCCCGACTAGACTGAGTCAGTATGTTTGAATCTTGTGCACTAGCCCCATCTGAGAATTTTGGCAAAAAATTCTCAGTTTTGGCAAACGGGGATCAGACCGCCAGGGTCTCTGCCCCTGACCAGAATTGACTAACTGCTGGCCTCTGCTGTTGATGTAGCTCTTTTGGGCCCCCATAAGCTAAGGCCCAGCCACCTGGTAGTTTCCCTCTTGTAAAATGTGACTTTGTTGTAAGTGAAAACATAATAATGTTAATAATAATAATGATACAGGTTGATATCACCAATAAAAATATCGAACCCGTTTATGTTTACGATGTGTCCATCATCCACATTTCTCTCTTTCATCGACTGATACGCTTCGCGTGTGCAGATACTGAGAGCAAGAACATTTACCTGCAAGAAAAAAAAAAACAGAAAACAAAATATCAGGAATCAGCACATTCTGGTTGATGCACTTACTTGTTGCTTCTTGCACACAGTGGGTGAAAAACGGTTTTAAGCAGCTTCAAAAACTATTAATGAGTCAGTTTAAGAGCTGTAGTCACTGAGAGGTTAATGCACACTGATCAGCTACAATATTAAAACCAGTGACAGATGATGACATGTTTCATTTTTTTACAGTTCAAAGTTCTGCTGGGACATTATTCCTGTGAATGTTACTTTTGATAAAATGCTACAACCAATATTATATTTCTACAATAACTCTGAGCTCTTACATCCATCATGTTCTTCCAGCCACTGGTTTTGCCGTTTAGCAGCAATTCTGGATGAGCCAAGCCAGCGTTGTTGATGCACACGTCCACGCCTTTGTGCTGCTCTTTGATCGCTGCAAACATGGACAGAATCTCCTCCTCTTTGGTCAAGTCACACTTGAAAGGAACCAAAACACCAGGATGGCCGGCACTCTGACAGTCTCCTGCCAGTTTCTGAAACCAAAAAGAAAAATTGACACACTTCAGAATCCACTTTGTGTTTTTAAGGTTTATGAATCTACTATTCAAATATACTAAGTTACTGTAAATTCACTGATTTGACTTTCCAGTTTGCATATCATCCACAAACAGTTGCCTGTGTTTGGATGTTCTGCCCATTTTTGAGTTTTGCTTCTTTCATGGATCTACTAATGATTTTGTAACAGCAGGCACATGATGATGGGATGATGCCTGCAAAAGCATTTTGTCTGGTTTTGTCTTGAGGTATGATTCAAACAGTTCATGCATTTTATCAAGGAAATTTAAAAAAAACCCCACTTTACTAATTCAAGCTCTTAATTTATTCTTGGGAGATGTCACTGTAGCTCAGGGCTGGACTGGGACAAAAAAAGATGGTCCTGGCATTTTTGGTCCAGGCAGCCCGCCATGATCCACTCAGAAAATATATAAATAAATGAATAAATAAATGTATATATCCTGCCTACACATATTATATATATATATTCCCTTTTGTTTGATTGTTGATATTGAAACAATAGAACAGAATAGATTTGTAGATGTCACATCAATGTAGTGGCGGCCAGCCACCCTGTTTAGCCATGTTTAAAGTGGTATGAATCCTGTAAAATGCTACCATTCATATCATTATGCTCTGTTTAGAATGTCCACTGACATTTTTCAGTACCTTACTAGAAAGCATCCATCAAATACATGAAAAACTACTTTGTGAAAAATAACTTTTGTTTTCCCACTAACTTCACTTTCTGCCCCCTCATTCTTCCTCTTCTTCTGCAACCTCCTTGTTCTCTCTCTCCATCCTCCTCACTCATCTAGAAATTAGAAAATGACAAAAATCTAATCTTTAAATAATTATTATAAGAGCAACAGGGGGATCCACGATAACAGGACAACACACTGAGTAGACGTGTGGGTAAAACAGAAGCTACAGCTTTATAATTTTTTGATGAATTTAATCGCTACAGCCATTAAAAGACTGATCCATAAGAATTTATAGCAATATTTAAACTGAATGCAGGCTGTTGCTAGATGCTGACAGGTTACATCATTATGACCTGCTGTCACCTGGAGCTGGAGCTGTACTGTACACAAACACTGAAGCCCAATTTGACCAGAACAGGAACAGAAATATTTAACAAACAAAAATAATAATAAGTACATCAGCTTCTTAACTTGTGATATCCCAGCAGACTAGTGGATCGGAAGGTTAAAATTAGCTAATAATCTCTAGTGATTTATATACAGTCTGAACTTTTACTCTATTTCAGTTGAAGTGTGTTTTAAATCTGCATCACTGATTTGTGCCATGAAACTATTTCTTTATTGTCTTTCTGGCAGCAACTAAAGTCTGTAACAGAGAGACTGTAACATCATGAGAGAACAACACTGGACATAAAATTTGTTTCCATTTTATCCTGTTCTGTCCTCAATAGAAAAGTTATGATAATGTAACATTTGAAGATAATACTACTATTATTATAGTTATTTTTAGGGGTAATCTGATAAAACTTCACACCCCAAAAAGGGTCTTATCTCGCCCCCTGTTGTTTTCTCTCAGCTTTTCAGCTCCAACTTTTCGACACTTATTTCACCCTTACCTTTTTCTACAAGCGAGCAAGGAAATTTTATTGGGCAATCCAGTGTCAGTAATTAAAACGAACCAATGGGTTGCTGTCAGTGCTTGCGCAGCGGCCCTTCTGGTCGGTCCATCTCTCCAAAAGTGTGTCGGCCAACCGGGAAAATGCCAGGTGTGTCAGATTACAAGTCCAGCCCTGCTATAGCTGCACTTTGTTAAGATTGTTGATTGTGGCTAATCTTTGACAACAGCATTATGTTTCAAAGTTCAACAACCAACAGTGCATATCATCTACATACAGTATGCTGACGGATTGTGTGCCAACTTAAAGAATCATTAACCACAGAGTTATAAATTTCAAGAAAGCAAAGGGCACAAAAGAGGATTTTCACCGTTATGTTTAAAATTTTAATATTCTGGCTTTTGCTAGCTTCTTATAAAAACTCTGTAGATGTAAATCAAAAGTAGTTTAACTGCAAACAAAAAACAACAACGAAGAATAGCGTTTTCCCCTGCATAATAGTAACTTTAACAACCAAAATATATTTATCTTTACATTAAATTACTCCATGCAGAAATTAAGTTTTCCCTTTATAGCATACCAGAATCTTTTCTACGTCCCTGGCGCAGCCCATCACTTTCATACCGAGTCGGACCAGCTCTACCGCTACAGCCGCCCCAATCCCGACCGAGGCTCCGGTCACCAGAGCCACTCTGCCACGCCAGCGCTCCATCACAGTCCAGACAACGATAACCTGCTACACCCACGAAAGCCCCACAATTATAAAGATAGGGATGCTGAGTCTGCAGCAGAGAGACCCCAGAGCTCTCATGGACCTGTCACAAAAGCGTGAGCTGTGAACCCTGTGAACATAACTATGAACGCCCCGAGCGCTTAAAAACAGTCGTCTCTGTGCTGCGTTCATGACATCAGCAAACTGTAGGAAAACATTTAAATAGTTTTTTTTTTTGTTGCTTCTCTTAAAAATTATACTACAATCTATTTACTCATATCCATCAAATGAAAACTAATTTAATCTCAATTGACCTATCTAGAACTGTAAAAGACCAACAGGACCATAAGAGCCTTCATCAAGAATTTAATGGGGAAGTGGCGAACAATGCTACAGGCCAACCTCAAGCCAAATACACAAATCTCCATCAAGTGCTGCTCGGCATAGGCCTGAACCCCCTTCAGCAAAATCATTAACAAGACTCGCTACAGATAACGTCTGAAGCAAAGGAGCAAATGTCAGCAACTTCCTCTACATGGATGACATCAAGCTTTATGTCAGGAGTGAATGAGACACCGATTCACTGATCCACACTACTAGGATCTACAGCTATGACAACATAGCCGAGATCGAAATACACTAAGTGATAGATGCAGGCCTGGTCTATCAAAAATGTTCTTTTCTTTTTTTAATCAGGTTCGTACAGCTGTTGTTGGGCTAGAACATCTTAGTTGCAATGTAGAAATGAAGTTACCTTTTAGCTATTAGCTTGTTATTATCAAATTGCTTTAACCATGAGCCATTTATTTTTCCCTGAGTCTCTTCCTCTCTCTACCTTTTTCGTTAACTACACCTTCCTCTGTTTCTTCCTCACTCTCTTGTTGGGACTGCTGGTCCTCTCTCCATGGCTAATGCTAACAACTGTGCCTCTATTCTGAGCGCACATAAATAATTTTTGCAAATGTTGCATTTTAAGGAGACAATTATTTTGAGCAAACAAAATTCATTTCAGTGTTTGCTATTATACATATACACACACAATAACTGCCATTCTCGCTCAGTTGTTGGCATTTGCTCTTGCTCAGATCTCTGCTCTGTGTGCTCTCAGTATGTCGCTTCTGCTGTCAACATCTCTGCTCCCTGCACACTCAACTTCTGCTCTTCTTCTGTGGTGGGCCATCAGTGTCTAATTGCTAAATAGATTAATTGAATTATGTAAATCAATAAATCATATTAAATTCCTTTTAACAATCACTCCTTATTTAACTGTTTTTATACATCTTAGAGCACAAATAGGAAACTCAGAATGAGGCCAGTCATTTCATGAACAATTTTTATTTGAAAATCACTCCCATTCACTTTTTAGACTCTTTAACACTTTACACATGTCACATCAGAATTTTGAAAACAGACCTGATTTGTTTGACACAGTAATATATAAAGACAGCTATATTTTTGTTCAGTCAGCACAAACTTCTACAGGCCATAGTCATAGTCTGGTTTTCCATCAACGAAGGGCTTGAAGAAGGCCTTGTGGGCATCTATGCTGTGTATTGTGGCTTTGACAGCTGGATCTTCCAGCATGCGCTCTGTCCACATCTTCATCTCAGGTGTGCCATCCAGACAGCTAGGAGACAAAAGTAAATTACAGCATGTGAACCCACATTTGTTTGCAAAACATCCAACAGACAGGAAATAAATATAAGATATTCAGTAGATGCTACAAAGGAAGAAAAGCTCAAATTAGATATTAAACTGTTACTTTAGTTGTGTTACAGTTTTGCAGATTGGGCACTGTTATTTCTTCATTTGAAAGGAAGAAAAATAAGTCCACATGGAAGAGGTAAACCTTTATGGAACAACAAGATCTGGAAAACCTACTGTTGCAGCTCAAAGACCTCCAGTCTCTCAAACCACGGCCACATCATGTAGTCAAACATTGTTATGGAATCACCACCAAAAACCTTGATCTTCTTGTTAACGAGGTCCTAGAAATTGAATATTACTTTCATTAGAGGTGCATTTAATACTCTAAAATAACCAGGTATAGATAATCTTAATAATCCTTTGATTAGTGATTATGATTGGCAAGCAAAGTTGCAAGCACACTCATTCACACACAGTCTTTCAAATTATATGTTTATGTGTAAAGAAACTAGAAGCATCAATTGTGTCACCTACCTCGTTCAATTTGGAAAGCTTTTCTTTCAGTTCAGCTTCCAGTCCTGAGACATCCTGACCATTCTTTCTCCCTGATGGGATCCTGTAAAAATATCCTATCATCTAAAACAGTGACATTAAACTGATTATTTGGTGATTAAAAAAACAAAATATAAAGATTTATGTGCAAGTTTCCATGTGACCTACTTTGGAAAAATACTCCAGCATCATTCTTTGCTTTAGCAAAAGGAGAAGAAGGAAGCAGCTGCTTTTCAGGGTAACCTTCATCCACCTATTCACAGGTGATCGGTGACTCATATATCAACTCACCAGCAGGTGTCTCTAGTGTCGGGACAATCCCAAATGGATTCTTTTTAAGGTACCACCCAGGCTTGTCTGCCAGATGGACATTTATGATTTCATGCCTGAAACACAAAAAGCACAAAATTCACACAATGTACAATAAATTAAAGGAATTTTATAGTTGTCAGTTTGGAACATGTTGCTTCCACAAGGGCAAAGTGAATTTTATATTTGTTATTAGCAGGTGGGCCCCATGTTATAGTTAAATGTAAGGATTTTAAATACATATACATACATTCCTATTTTAATTTTACACAACATCCCAAGATTTTTGGAAACGAACTATGTATAAAAATGTGAAAAGAGCACCTTCATTAACATTACAAATACCTCCATGGTAATATTTATATACTGTAGACTTTAAATGGATGTTGTATATTTACATATTTGTACCCTTTCTTTAGCAGGAAGAAGTAATTTTCTGACATCTGTGTGTTTTTAGAGAAGCCACAGTGTGTCACTATTTGTTCTGACTTTTTTTAAAAGTCGTTTTCAGTCGCATGCTTTTAACCGTCACGAATAATATCAATATTGACCTAATTAAAATGCATGGCTTTGTAAAACTGCAACTACACCCTCACCACAAGCTAGGTAAGGGAACAGTGTAAGTAGTAATATACCTATACTTTTTTAAAATGTGATACATATGTTGTCCGAAAACAATTCCTCTAAATTTGCAAAGTTACTGATTTAAAAAATATATATTTTCGAATTTTTAGTTGCATGTCAAACATATGATAGACTCTTGAGCATATTCATATAGCTAAATTCACAATGGTATAACCGTGCTAAATAAAAGCGGCCCAAGCACCAATGCACTCTAATCCACTCCGCTAAACTGTATGTTGATAAGTACATGAACGTACCTCTACCTCTACAGCTGAAAACAGTTTGTATCCGCACTCTGAGGGTCTGCTGAATTGTTTTTAATACGGCACTTTTTGACGAACAGCAGATGATGAAATCCTCTTTATTGTAGAAACTGTCCCTAAGCTATTGTTGCTCATACTTACTGAGGTCCCTAGCTACTTCCTTACTATGTCAGTAAACTTTTTTGAAAAGGAAGCTGTTGTAGATTTAAAGAAACATCTTAATTGAAGCAAAGGCAAAAAAAACTGGAATGAATTTTATGTGACTGTTCATATTAAAGCCAACAACAAGTGAAAATCCAAAAACCGGCTTCAATCCTTTGTATTAATGATCTCCCCCCCCTCTCTCTCTCTCTGTGTGAGTGTGTGTGTGTGTGTGTGTGGAGTGTGTGTGTGTGTGTGTGTCTGTGTGTGTGTGTGTTGGGCCCTCACAGAGAATCACAGCAGGAGCTTTTCTCAAACGCATTACCAATCAGTTTTTGTTTTGTTTTTTTTGTTTTTTTACAAGAAGTGTAGCATACAATGGTACTGTCAGGGTTCCTGGGTCGTTGACCCAGTGATTTCAGTTTGTTCATGTTCAGTTTAGTTCGCCACATTAATGTTCTCACTTCCTGTCTTTTCCCCGTGTCAGCTTGTCCCCCGTGTCATTAGTCAGATTAGTGTTCAGCCCTGTACTCGCCTGTTTCCAATCACTGTCATCATTCAACCTGTGTATTTAGTTCCTCGGTTTCACCAGTTCTTTGTCGTGTCATTGATGTACATGTGATGTTCCTGTCGTCTCCCCGTATGTATGTTCAGTTAGTCAGCCAGTCCTTCGTTCCTGCTTTGTTCATTCACCCGTTCCAATAAATCCCCGTCATTTCTGTACCTGCGAGTCCTGCGTTTGGGTTCCTTCTTCCTCGCCTCCACACAACGCCTGACAGGTATAAATGTATTCTTTGCGATACTTTATAAATATGAAACTTAAAGATTTTGAGTTCAGTGCACATTGTGAAGCAAGAATCTAAATATTTGTGTCACAATGATTTCTATAAAAGCATGTTGTTTATGGGGATAATGCAACAAATCTTTTGTGCGTCCTATTAATGATCAATGGTAATGCCAAGAGGAACCCTGGCTCAGGACATTTTCATGACAAGTGACAGCGCAGACATCTACTAATGAGAGAACATGTTTTATCATCATAAACGACGTGTGATATGAAGCATCGTTAAAGTGTCACTTCAGTAATGTTGACTCATGTTTTTAATAATGACTTTAAAACACTAAACTCTAATTTCTGTGGTTATTTTAAGTTTAAGTTTAAGTTTTTAAGGTTTTCAAGTTGTGTGTAAGGGTTTAGTCTATCAAACCTTACCCTTTTCTCCCCAGTATCACAACAGTAGGACTCCCAAAGTACGGCTCAGTAAACAACCAATGATTCTAAAGCCAGAACAGAAAACAGTTGAAATAATGTTGCAAGTTTTTGTGCGTACAGGGTAAAATTAGCCACAGATGCAACATCCACTTTTGATAAAGATCACTCCACCTGTTTATTTCTTAAGAAATTAAGCATCTTTATTAAGCTCTTATTTATAAATGTCTACACAATAATAGACACCGTGTGCTCTGTGACATTATAGTCTTCTACTTCTGCTTCCATCGGTTTGCATTTTAAACTCCCAGCCTTTCAGTTTGTTATGAACGACTTATATTTCTAACATTTTGTGATATAAAAGTGAACCATGCGACTTTTTTTATTTTCTGTTTGATGGAAGTGACTTAAGACACGAGTTATTTAAACAATTCTAAATGACAGTGTGATGGCCATAGTACTTTATGTGGGCCAAATGTGTTAAGGATAATGTTTATCAATGTAAAATTGCAAAGAACTTGTGGATAGAATATAACATTTTGTAAACAGTTACCTCAGAAGCTGTACTGGTAGATCTTGATGAGGTAAGAATATTCTCATATAGTACTTCACAGGCTATAGTAACGTACTAACACAGAATGTATCTGCATCTTACTTGTATTTGCTATCTATACTAGGACTTTAGTCTCCTAAATCTGAAATCGCCGCTGCTGCCTTGAAATATATAGCGAGAGTCAAATAACCAGCATCAGACTGGCACTAGAGAAATGTATGTAAATTACGTGAGAGTGACGCACGAAGGGCCTAAGATACTCAAAGCCAGAGTAAGAGAAATTAAAAGTTGTTGTTTTTGGTGGCTCGAAAAATTAAAGAAAGATGTTTAATAATTGCTAAAATGACACAGCACTCAAAATCAAGTTTTTTATTTCTTGCTTCAATTAAGATGTTTCTTTAAATCTACAACAGCTTCCTTTTCAAAAAAGTTTACTGACATAGTAAGGAAGTAGCTAGGGACCTCAGTAAGTATGAGCAACAATAGCTTAGGGACAGTTTCTACAATAAAGAGGATTTCATCATCTGCTGTTCGTCAAAAAGTGCCGTATTAAAAACAATTCAGCAGACCCTCAGAGTGCGGATACAAACTGTTTTCAGCTGTAGAGGTAGAGGTACGCTTCATGTACTTATCAACATACAGTTTAGCGGAGTGGATTAGAGTGCATTGGTGCTTGGGCCTCTTTTATTTAGCACGGTTATACCATTGTGAATTTAGCTATATAAATATGCTCAAGAGTCTATCATATGTTTGACATGCAACTAAAAATTCAAAATATATATTTTTTTTAAATCAATAACTGTGCAAATTTAGAGGAATTGTTTTCGGACATCATATGTATATGCGTTTGGGTTCCTTCTTCCTCGCCTCCACACAACGCCTGACAGGTATAAATGTATTCTTTGCGATACTTTATAAATATGAATGCTCATAATGACTTTGCAAATACATCACTCCCTTACTTGACATGCACACGGGAGGAGCCAGGGATCCGATCAGCAGGTGACCTGCTCCGATCCCTGGCTCCTCCAGTCATCCAAGTATCCTTGGGCAAGATACTAAGTCCCCAAATTGCTCTCCGATGCTTCCATCAGAGTATGAATGTGTCTGAATGTATTTAGGAAGCACTAAGAGTAGAAGAAAGTGCTTGGTTGAATGTGTGTGATTGGGTGAATGTGGCATGTTGTATAGAGCGCTTTAAGTACTCTGGGAGAGTAGAAAAGCACTATATAAGAATCAGTCCACTTACCATTTAACAAAGATGACTGGTGGCGCGGGACACAGCGGCCACTCTGGACCAAATAGTGCTGTCTTGGTGGTTCATTTCCATTGCACTGTCTTGTGTCTCTATCGTCTTGTTCTGTATAGTCATGCACTGTCTTGCCTTTTCTATTTTTCAATTTTGCACATTCCACTTTACGCAGTTCTGTTTGTGTCTGTTATGTTTCATCTGTAGCACCGGGTCTTGGAGGAATGCTGTCTCATTCCACTCTGTACTGTACCACTGTACATGGTTCAAATGACAATGAAAGCCGCCTGAACTTGAACTTGAACATCAACAGCAACATGACTAACCATGACATTGCAATAATGCTGCCCCTTTTTGTTTCCTTCTGACATTCCTCCCTTTATTTGCTTGAGTCAACACACCTTAATTTGATTCAGGTGTGTTGACCCTGGGTATTATCTAAAACCTGCAGGCCACCGGCCCTCGAGGCCTGGACTTCGACACCACTGAACTAAAAGTGGGATATTACTGCCTGCATCTGCTGACCGAGGCAGCAAACAGTCTTCCTTTGTTTTAGCTTTCACACATGGATCAAAAATGTTACTGCAAAAGTACACGACACACAATGATTGTGCTTACTATTATTGCATTTTATTGACAGTTTTGAACTCAAGGAACAAGGTCTGTTCCAGTCCAGCTCTCTTCGTCTCCACTTGACTGCTTTCACTATATAGAGAAACGGAAAGAGACACCGTGATCAGTCAATCGCCACCACCTGTAAGCTCACCTGCCTTCCTGGTACCGCCCCATTGAGCTCACTGCACCACTCCTCCCCTGCAGCTGAGCTAGGGACCACACCTCCACCACAGCTAGCAAAAGAGATGTGCATAAAGCGCATTCAAATTCCTCCCTGAGTGGTTCATAACCCCACAAACAGCTCTCCACACCATTGCTGGGTGTGTCAGCATAGATGCCCCCTCATTAGGTTTACTGGCTAATGCACAACAGGTGTGCCAGTCACCTCACCTGACACTGCTGCAGCTGAACCCAAA